GAAGAATATCAGCTCCAAAGCCACCTCCACCGTGGCACACCAACTTACTACGCTAGCAACAAGGCTGATAGCAAAACGACGCTAGACCTCACTCTTAGCAACATCTCAAACCGGTTGATTAAATGCGAACTTCTAGACCAAAACTACGGGTCAGACCATAGGGCTACCTATTCCGAATGGAATATGGATGTCGAACTAGCAAGTATACGACTACTACGAAAGCTCTACGAACGGATAGACTGGATAAAGGTGGGACAAGCTATTCAACACGCCCTAAGCTAAACGAGAGAAACCGCTACACGAGAACAACTAGATGAGGCAGTCGAACAGCTTATTAGCATTACCGCAGCTACTGTAAACGAGCTAACCCCAACAGCCAAGCCATGCCCATACTCAAAACAGTAGTTCAGCCCAGAGCTAAAAGAACACCAAGCAAAGTATAACAAACACCGACGACTCTAGCAAACCTTTAGTGTAAGCCTTGGAAGAGACGACCCAGACACGCTAGGCCAATACAGCGCAATGAAAACAGCCCGCAGGACGTAGGTAAAGGCGATAGCACACGCAAAGAGCAGCCACTAGAAGGAATTTCTAGACAACGCAGGGAAAGGTAACCAGCTATAGAAGGCAGCTAAATACGCCAGCCCAAACGATAGTTACAGCCAAATCCCCCCGCTTTCTACTAGCAATGGCGAAGCTATAGAAAACAAAGAGAAAGCACAGCTCCTACTAGATACTTTCTTTCCCTAACCAACCAACCCACAACCCGCACCTCAGCCTGCTTCAGCAACCCCTAGGAGCTGGGAACTAATCACGGAAGCCGAAATCTACTAGAGCCTAGTCTCCTCTAGTACCAGCAGTGCCCCTGGGGAAGACGGCCTGCCAATACTCGTCTAGCGAAAGCTCTGGCTATATACTGCTAGGCATATCCACCATATCTTCTCCTCTTCCGTTAACCTTAGCTATCACCCGAAAGCCTAGCGAACAGCAGCAATCGTCGTTCTTCGAAAGGCAGGCAAACCCGACTACACGATCCCTAAAGCGTACCGCC